ATCAACAATGGTTAGAAAGAATTTAAAACCATCACGAGTAGCATGTTTATAAGTGTAACGCTCGTGTTTCTAGGCTAGGCATTAATATTGATGTGATAGTCTAGGTTAACCTTTGTAACTCATTTTGAAGATATGAAAAGAATTATGTGAATATTATGTGAAAATTATGTGTTTTATGCTTAATTATTAGGGTTTAATTAATTAAGAATAAAAATGAGCGTCGAAATTAAATATTAGATAAAGCCGATATCTATTAAGAAAGTTGTAGTGGTCGTGACAAGGATTACGGATATATAAAGAATACCGAAATCCGAGTTATAACGAAGAAGTTATGAGTTGTCGAAGTTTCACGACAAAACCGGCACGGTGCCGAATGACGTAAAAAGTGAGTTTTTGGTAAACTACTTTTTAGCCTTAGTAATCTAAATGAAAGTCGTAGTGTTCGTTAAACCGAGAGTATGTATAAAAAGAACGCCCAAATCTGACTTCGTATGAGGAAGTTATGATTTTTCGAAGTTTCAGCTTAGCAGTAGACAACTAAAAACTCGAATTTTAGATCGATTGATTTTTAGCCGACACAACCTAAACGAGAATCGAAAGTCTCGTCAATAGTAATACAACGGTAAAAAGACAGACGAAAACGGACGTCAGATGAAGAAGTTATGAATTTTTAACGAATTTCCTGTCCCGCTCTGTTAAAAATAATAATATAAAAATTAAAGTCAAAATTAGCAGACGAAGTCTAAACGAAAGTTGTAGAGCGTAATTTTACCTACGCGTACATATAAAGAACGTCAAAAACGGAGCTCGTATGCGAAAGTTATGGATTTTAGAAGTTTTTGCACAAAAATCGAGAAAAAAATGCCAAATCCGAGGAATTTCGCATGGTGGACTTCGGCCACGTCACCTTCGCTGCATGCGTGCCACGTGTCCGAAATTGCTGTGTCATCAGAAGCGTGTCCGAACCAGAGAGCCATCCGAAGCGCGGTCCAATAGCGATCCGACGCGTGCCCCTTTCTCGCGTGTCCGAGCTTCGCACATAGCGCCACGACTGAACCCTCGGACCTAGACCTCGGTCCAATCAGAAGGTCACACCTAGACCCTCACACGTGCGAGGCACCTGCCTCCTCTTCGGATCTGCTGCCACCTGGAAGCTTCTCAGCCGTCCGATCAGAAGCCTCACCCCTATAAATAGAAGGGTGCGAGACCTCCCGGGGATAATTTGGAAACTTGTCATTTTTAACCCCTCTTGCAATATTTCTTTCATTCCAACTTCCCCCAAAGCCCCGGTATCATACCAAACACCCGAAACACGTCCCGAAGTGCCCGAGAAGCATGAGAAATTTATCTTTTCGGTTTTGAAGCCCAACCCTCGCAAAGCCCGGTTTCTCAATAAAACTCCCGGTTTTATTAGAAACGATCGTTTTAGGAAACGAATTGCTACCCGATTATCATTAAATCAGGTGAGTGTGTAGTTACTTTCACCTTACACATAGATATGAAGTATTTACCTTAAAATACGTGCTATGTGTAAATATATTAATTGTTTATTTGAGGTGACTGTTGAATAGATGTTTTATACAAGTTTTAAACTGTATATATAATTTATCTACAAATATGTTGGGTAAAACATGGGTAGACGAAATAGTCGATGGGTGTTAAAATGATGAGAGACCTCGATGTTGTTGTTGTTGTTGTTGTTGTTGTCGTCTAGCGGAGTTTAGATGACGACCACGGACCTTTCTAGACAGTCCAGTGGAACACTATCAGGTTCGCAACTTGTAGGTGTTGGTGAACTATATGTTCATTGGCGTACTCCATCCCCCTCATGGTTGCCTTTAGGACGTGTATGGCTGAGGAGTCCCCTTAGCAGTAGTGTCCATCCCGATGATATTCCTTAGGCTATGTCCCTTGTGTTAGGTGTTTAGGGACGTAAAGTGAGGATAACGGGAATGGGTAATCAGGGTTATTGTTGATTGGTGAACTTAATAAGTTTATTATTATTGTGGGTTGAAAACCCTATATGCTCACCAGGCTCCCAAGCCTGACCCATTCAACTTTTTATTGTTACAGGTAGTGGACCCCGAGCATAGTCGGAGGATGATGAGAGATTTTTGGATTATAGGCCAATAGTTGTAAATAACTGTTGTAAGGCTTATAATGTCTTGTTTATGTTTTTGATCTGTATCGGAACATGACATCCCAATGTTTTGATATATAAGGAAAATATATACTTTCTTAAAGAAAGGTTTTAACTTTTATCATGTTTTGTTTTGGGGACCAATTCCGCAACATCTTTTAAAAGATTTCTCTGACTTTATTTTAAAAAGCATAAATTAAATCGGTCTTTTCTGGCCGAGAAATTAGGGGATGTCACAATAAGGTCCCCATACATCAATGTGCACTAGATCAAAAGGATGATGAGTATGAGATATGCTTTTAGGAAAAGACAAACGTGGCTGTTTAGCTTGAGAACATGTCAAACAAGAATCAAATACAAACTCATTACAATGTGAAGGAACAAAAGACAATTGTTTGAGTTTACTAAAAGGAAGATGACCTAATCGTTTATGTCATAACAAAGTGTTGGATGGCTTATTGATTACAATGAAACATGTTCTAGAAGGAAATGGACAACAAAATGAAAGATGATCTTTAATGGTTCGATGATCAAAAACATATAGATCATTGATATTCTTCCCAAAACCACCTAGAGCAATCTCATTCTTTGATGAAGGGTCCTGCAGAAGACATTCTTCATCAGTAAAGATGACAAACGTATTTAAATGTTTTGTGAATTTGGGAATAGAAATGAGATTGTATTTGAATGAAGGAACACACAATACTCGATGAAGAATTATAGAATCATGCAATTGAATATCACCAATGAAAGAAACAGTAGCATGATGACCATCAAGAAGCCCAATGAAATGTGGTTGATTAAGTGATGTGATTATTAATGAGTTGAACAAGGTGTTCATACTGTTCCATGGTGATTGAAGGAGAATTAGATATCGAGATAACATTCTGAACACTTGATTTTGGATCATCCTTTTTGTTTTTAGTGAATTTGAATGACGCAGGAAAACCAATTATGCGATAGCAATTGGTTTTGGTATGACCTGTCTTCTTGCAGTGAGTACAAAGAAGTGATTTCTTGGAGTTGGAAACAGATGATTCTGAAGTAACATTCATGGGAATTGCATCATTGTTTATAATTGAAGGAATGGAAATTGTTCGTTGGCGTTCTTCTTGAATAATCAGCGAATAAGTAGTGGAAAGAGGAGGTAACGACTTCATCATAAGAATTTGCCCTTGAACAATTTTGTATGAATCATTTAGCCCCATTAACATTTGAATGATGCGTTGATCCTCAAAAAATGTATGAATCGATGCAACAGCAACACAAGTACAAAGAGGAATAGCTTGAACAATCCGCAATTCATCCCAAATTTTTGTTAATTTGGTGAAATAGGTAGAGAAATCATTTGTACCTTGTGAGAGAGAAAACAATTGTTGCTGAGTGTTGTAAAGAAGAGTACCATCAGATCGTTCAAATCGTTGATGAAGCTCATTCCAAATCTCAGAAGCATTCGGTAAGAAGAGAACACTATCAACAATTGTTTTGTTCAACGAATTGAGAATCCAACCGATGACCATTGAATTAGCTCTGTGCCAATTCGAATATGCAGGAGAATTGATTGCAGGAGGCGTAATAGATCCATCTACAAATCCAAGCTTGTTTTTGGCAGACAAAGAAAGAATCATCAATCGTTTCTAGGATTGAAATCCAATTCCATTAAAAACAGTTGAAACAAGAATGGAATTCGGATTATCAGAAGAGCCAATGTAAAATGAACTGGAAACATTGATTGCAGATGAATCAGATGAGATCGTTTCAGACATGATTCTGATTGAATGAACGAAGAAGAATGAAATGGATCGATTTCAATCTGATACCATATTGAATTTGAAACTTAGAAAGAGAAATATGTTTTGAGAGAGAAAATCTTTTCTTTCATTGATTTGTCTGAATGAAATGTTCATTACATATATACAAGAACTTAAACAAACTTGTAATGGAATAACTAAATAACTGAAACTCAAAACTCTCTAACAAACAGGACATGTGGCAATTAACTCTTAATGATAACAGAGAGAGTGGTATATTGGAGGTACCAGCGGTAGCTCTTTTGCTAATTAAGACTTGTACCTTAGTTTTTTTTGTATTTTTTAATTAAGTGAGTTGAAAAAAATAGAGTTTTCGTGTGTTGTGGGTTGAGAAAGATGAAGAAAAAAAAGATATAAAAACTGATGTGGTAGTGGGTCGAGTGAGTTGGGAGAGAATAACTCCCTCCTCCCTAAGAAAGGATAATATCATAAAATCCCGACTAATAACATAATTTTCTCTGCTTTAATATATAGTCAAAATCCTGAGTTGTTTTATTATTATTATTATTATTATTTACTTTTTTATTTTTAAGTTCTCATTGCACCATTAGTTTTCATTATCATCAAAGTTAAGGATTTAAGGTACGTAAAAAACAGATTTTGTCATAATAGATAACACAATAGACGACACATAGTATCTACCAGTTTATTTGGATAAAATCAACCGAACAAATAATCTTTTGTCTATTAGTGCAAATATATATATATATATATATATATATATATATATATATATATATATATATATATATATATATAGAGAGAGAGAGAGAGAGAAAAGTTCAATAGAGAACTATTATTAATCAAGGAATCAAGGAACCAATCCAAAGCGTCGGAATTTAAAGCGATCAACGACAAAAGAAAGGATTGTAAACTTTTATAATGAATGCACATGTGTATATATATATATATATATATATATATATATATATATATATATATATATACTAGGTTTAAACCCGTGGAAATCCACGGGTGATAAATTGAAATTGAAATAGAATTATACTTTTGATTGTGTAATAAAAAAAGATTTCAAAGTTTAGTAGAAATTAAGAATACTGATATTGTAATTAACATGAATAAATCAAATACAATGTTTAGTAGAAATGAAGTGTGATACACAAAAACAAAATAAATAATGGTAGAAAAATAATGTTTATACATTCCCAAAAATTTCCTTATAAACAACATTGGAAGTTTTATTTGTGAGAGTACCATCCTTATCTAAAATTAATAATTTTAATCCGTCTCTGCTTTGAATTCTAGATAAGGCAACATACAATTAACCATGTGAAAACACGGGATTTTTGAGAAACAAACCAACCTTGGATAATGACTGTCCCTGGCTCTTATTAATGGTCATTGCAAAACATACAGCCAATGGAAATTGTCTTCTTCGAAATTTGAAAGGAATTTTCTTTTCTGATGGAGTTAAAGACATTCTTGGAATAAAAGTGCGGTTGCCAATATTAGTTCCAGATATGATACGTGCCTCAATAACACGTTTGCCCAATGATATCACCTGGAGTCTTGTCCCATTACACAAGCCATTTTTCTGATCAATATTTCTCAGCAACATAACCGGAACACCGATTTTTAAAACTAACTTATGGTTTGGTAAACCCGATACTTTCAGACCATTTAAAACATCAGATGAATATAAATTTGCATCAAACTGATCATGGACAAATTCAGATTGGCATATACTATCTGAACTTAAATATTCAACCTCATCTCCTGGAAACTTCGATAGCAAACGGTCATTTATTTTCTGAACCACTTCATTCTTTGGAGCAAGTATTGCTCTTTCTTGAAAATAACTTGTATTTTTGTAATTTTCCAAAATTGAAGGATATACGAACTCGATTAATGAACCTATAGGATCATGTGGATCATTAATGAGAATATCATGTGGAATGTCAATAACCGTCTCTCCATCGTTGATACCACCAAGTTTTCCTTCTCCTATATCCAACAGCCATTGTGCAAAATCTCTAATTTTTTTCTATATCAGATTGATCTCTTCCAACAGTTAGCCTCATGTTTTTTGTTAATTTATGTATCTTGCATTGTGGCCATAAATATGAATAACTTAAAGAAGCATTAACAATGTTTTGTCTACTTCCACCCGGAATAACAGGTAGAATCTGTCTGAAATCTCCTCCAAAAACAATAACTTTACCTCCAAACGGAATATCTGAGTTGATAGAATTTTCAGACCTAAATACATCTTTCAAACTTCGATCTAAAGCTTCAAATGCATGCTTATGGACCATAGGAGCTTCATCCCAAATTATCAATGAGGTTTTCCTCAATAAGCCAGCGAGGTCACTATCACGACTTATTTTACAAAAAGAATCCTCTGTTAGTTCAAAAGGAATTATAAATCGAGAGTGTGCTGTTCTACCTCCGGGGTAATAATAATGAAGCAATCCCACTTGAAGCAACATTCAAAACAATATTACCATCGCATCTAATAGCTGCAGATATTGTTTTCCATAAAAAAGTCTTACCAGTTCCACCATAACCATAAACAAAGAAGACACCTCCTTTATTTTCTTTAACTGCACTCATGATATCAAGGAAAATGTGACGTTGCTCATCTGTCAATGCAAGAAACATACTATCAAACTCAGTCTTCATAACGTGAATGTCATAATCTAGCTCCTCGGTGATAAGTCGATTGTTTGAAGAAGAAACATAATCAACATCCGGGAAAGGCATGTTTTTATAATTTTTGAGACTGGAGTTGTTCCGAAGTAAAACTTGTTCTATCTCGAACAAAGTTAAGTTTTTAAGCTGATCTTCATTGAGTGATAAGTCTGCACGACTAAAATCAAGTTAATTAGAAATCTAATTAAAAAAATTTATTTATAATTAAAATATTATTTAATGTATGTTTAAAAAATAAATGACTTTTTAAATAAATAATAATAAAAAAATTAATACCTGGAGACTTGAATCTCTGTCGTTGGTTATAAAGAATTCCATCTGCCAAATATTCCCATGTGTTTTCCCAAACAACCTCCGGTTTAGACATACTGTTACACATCAACAATGTAGCAAAATAAGAATCGTAGGTAAAAACCTGATCCAGAATGACTTGCTTCTTTGATTGCATCGATGTATTCTTTGTCATCATCCAATAGACCAAGCGCATAACAAGCATCTCTAAAAGAAGAATACTCTTCACCATTTACTGTGCGAATTTCTTCAAATGATTTCGGACCTTTAACCTTGTTTAACAAAATCCTTAAGAAATAAGCTTCCCCTAGATTAGGTGAAACCGAATGAATTCTACCAATGCACTTTCCTACTTCCCGTGGCTTCCAAATCCTATCACCACGTTTCCAAACAAACTTTGTAGGAAATTCAACATACGTGAGTTTCCGTGCATCACGATTAACTGCATTACACTCCATCCAAGCTGTGAACATTGAAGAAGCAACAGAAGGTTTGTCGAGAACATCGTCAATATCATCGTCTTCCCCATATACAATTTGTTGTTGACCAGGAAGATGAAAAGGAATTCTAACCACAGAAGGATATCTGTAATGAACATCATATTTAAAAATTCTCCATGATGCTTCACATGCAGATAAATATCTACAGTCGTAATACTCATTTATTTCATCGACTGCATCATTAGTATCAGAGTCATTATTGCTTCGTACAACGGTAACTGTAGCTCTATCAGGTCCTTTGTTTATGTATTTGAATAAATACTTTATAGAAGAACCCTGATTGCACCATTCAACGTTAATATGTGCCTGATATCTTTTCAATAGATATTTGTTGTAGGGGACAACATTTCTATTATCCAACTTGACACCTGATTTTTCAACAAAATGACCATCGTTTCTTCTCCTATATAATGGAAAACCATTCTGATCAACAGACGTATGATTACAGAATTGCTTTGGAAAGTTTTTTGAGCACTTTTTGTCGATCATGCATGGACAATTGATATTTTCAGCTCCACATGGACCATGAATCATGAACTCATTCACAAGTGAAAACAATTCTGGATCTTCGTCTATGTTTGGTATCTCAGCGGAAATTATCGGATCGATAAGTTCAACAGTGGGTAGCTTGTAGTCAGAATGCATAAATAAACATATATGACTATGCGGCAAACCTCTTTTTTGAAATTCAATTGTATAAACAACTGCATAATATTTTGCAAAAGAATAAAATATGATTATACCGTAAGAAAAAATATAATAAATATATAATAAAAAGCATAAAATTTTACCAATTATGAAGAAACATAATTTGAAATACCTGCTTGAACTATGCCGAAAATGTGATTCTCCCTTAGATCTTTAATAAATGCATCAAGTTTGATCTTGAACAACCTACATAGTATATCAGGTCTGTCTTCTGGTTGAAGTGAAGTATCCTTAAGAAACCTTCTAACCTCAGGCCATTTGGGATTACACGTAAAGGTTATGAAGAAATCAGGATATCCAAACCATTTACATAGGGACATGGCATCCAAATAGTTTTGCAGCATATAGCGCGCACCACCAGTAAAAGATGAAGGTAATATCACACGTTGGCCGATGTTGGAGATATTTGTAGTTCCTTGAGCTTTTTGGTTACGTAAATTCTCATAAGACTCGCATCTAAGAACATGTTGTTGGCTACGTATGTAATACAATCTTTCACTTTCAATCATCGTATACGCATCTACCAAAAATTGTTGAAAAAGCCTTTTTGAATTAAGAATCAATGAGAACGAATGATCCTAAAAGCAAAAAATTCTCTCATTGTACATTTCGCGCGCTTGCTATTTGTTGTAGATGTAACACCTCTATGAAGAATATCAATGTTGTACCCATCATCACCATATGGAAATAGTAGCGGATATTGGAGAGGAAGGTAAGAAGGATGCAATTCACTGATACGTTGTAGAAATCCCGATTTTGTTTGAACAACGATATCTCTATTTTCAATTGAATCAGAAATGTCACCTACAATTAAAGCGGCAACCTCAGAAGCAGTTGGTAAGTTATATGTCCTTCCATCTCGATCCCTTTTCCCGATAATTCTTAACTTCAAATCAACTTGAGGATTTTTTGTAAAAGTATCTCTTACCATCCTATAAGAGCTAACCAAGACATTATTTGAATCTAACATCACCTTCAAATCTTCAATAATATCATTATCGATTGATGTAGATTGATGCTTTTCCCCACTATAAAAATTGAATATAAACATAATATTAGTAAAAAAGGTAAAAAAAAGATTAATATTAAGTATGAATAAGAATTTTGGAAATATACCCAAAGCATCTTTGTCTATTTGAATTTTCATTCTCGGGTATCATAAATGTATAACTGAGAGAATTTTGGTTGCGATCCATTTGGTGGCAAAAGGCTTCCAATACTATGATAATTTTGACCACCAAGTCTGAAAATGTATGGAGCATTCCCTTTATTGATTGAATAATCAATTTTACCACCCATCGACGTAAAAGAAAACATTGAATTGTAACGTCGAATGTTTTTCATGAAGTTTTTGCTTTTAGAATCCCATTGCTCGAAACATTCTTTCATAAGTTGGTGGTGCGTTCTTTAAATTTGGTAGTTGAACTTTGCCATAACCACAACATAATGAATAATTTGTGTTCCCTTTTTGTTTTCCTCTAATGGATTCATTTGTCCATAATTTTGCATGACATGTTTGACATACAACAATTTGATCACCATGATCCAAATATTCTGTAATAAAATATAGCGGTATAAGTAAAATATTTAATTTTATAAGTATATATAATACGGTATTTAAGTTGTAAGAAAAAAAGAAAATGGGTATTATATTGATTACCTTTGGAGATACCAACTATTAGGTTTTCAGTAATGACTTCATGTATATTTTCTACATCTGCTGTCAAGTCAATCAATGAAATAGGAGATAAATCTTTCAATTTCTTTTTTAATTTATGACATCCTGGATTTAACTTGATTGATGATGAAGAACCAGTTATTGTAGATGCATTTGTAGACGTCATACCATTAGAAGGTACATAGTAATGTATTTTATTTGGTAATGTTGAAGTGGCGTAGTCATTGAAACTAACATTAGCTGGAAAAAAAATAGTAAGGATATATAAATTTATTAGGAAGTGGTTGAAAGTAAATTTTGAAAACAAAAATTATTACCATTTGAAATGTTAGATAACGGAGTTCTAACATTTATATATGAAGAAGAAAATTGTAGTGGTGTATTTTGGTTTCCACGTGATTTATAGAAATTGACATTTTCATTTTGATGAACAACGCCCTTTGATTGATCTGTAAAAACAACTTGTTATAAACAGTGAAGACATATATTATAAAATAAAATTAGAATAAAAAATTTTATATTAGTACATGGGAATAATATAAAATGATGAGAATGTATGTCCTTTTTATATAGGTAAATGAATTGAAAAAATAAAAATAAAAAAAGAAAATTACATTTATATGTCTTTTTTAAGACATGTGGAGTAGATGGATTGAGAACACTGGATTTTTTGTTCATCTTCTTCGCTCTCTTCTTATCCAAATATAATTTTCTCTGTCTTCTTCTTTCTTTTGCTAGCAAGTAGTACATATTATTGTTTGTTTCTGCATAAGGAATAAAAGTATATGATACAAAATGTATAAGAGTGTAATAATTTTTCATAATATTGCATATGATGAATAATAATAATAATAAGAAATGTACCTTTGTAACCGTTGTTAACAAATATTGCAGATGATGAATCTTCAGCAGTCGATGAAGTAGACAATTTTTTTCCTTTTTCTTCTTATGTAAATATATGGTCATATTTTTTTGTTATTAAAAGATTAATTTACAGGTTAAAAAATTTGTAAAAAAAAACTTTTAAAAAATGTTAAAGAAAAAACTTACCGTTGTAAGGTGAAGTAATAACATTTGTAGCGGTTGACGTTTGTTGGATTGATGTAATAGACAAATTAATGTTATTTATATTATCTAAATAAAAACTATTTAATTTTCTACTCTTTTTAGAATCAAACGACTTCATGATATGTCTAGAATATGAACAAATAAGAACAATTACGTTATAAAATATGATGATAGGCAACAACGAATATTATTAAATTAAAAAATATATAACTAACCAAAAGAGTTTGACTCCAGGATGTTCTTCGAAATGATCGTATTTAAGTCAACAAAATCGAAGACTTGTGCTGATCGAAAAAAGTTTTCACAATGTTATACAGTTGTATCGAGGCGATTTTAGTTTTGTTTTAACAACAATTAATTTATAAGATAAGATGATACACAATAAAGAATATGATTAAATCGAAGAAAATAAAATATAAACTAACGTTTTGCCAATATTTGACATATAATTGCAATTTGTTTTATACAAATATATAAGTCGGTTAATTATTGT